ACGAGTCACTTGTGGCTATGTGTGCAAGACAATCCCACGAGTTCCTCCATACAGTTGTACGTGGGCGGCGACAGCAGCTGTGAAACGGTGTTATCCGAGATTTCAATATTTCAATAGCCTATATCCCGGGTGATGACAATCCGGTGGCAGATATGATGTCGTGGATGTGTCAGGGCATTGGCCCAATAATAATACGGATGCAAAGGTGACATATGCCGTTGCAGGCGTCCTTTGTGAGCCAGCTGGTCCAAGTGGTGTTGATCGAAGAACACAAGACATTGGCGGCTAAATGGTTTAGATTGTTGGAGAAGAAGTGGGGGCCTCATGACATTGATGCTTTTGTGCTGCCGGTGAACCAGCAGTTGAGTGCGTATCACTGACAGGTGGGGCGTTTGATAGATATTGGGAGGATCTGTCCATTAACTGGTACATGAACCCGAAATTTCCACTTATGGAGCAAGTATTGATAAAAACAGTGGAGGAACGGGCTTGGGTGACATTGGTGGCTCCATACTAGTCGTTCGCTAGTCGGTTTTCGTTGCTGGTTTCTTTGTTGGCCGATGTACCCATCTGTGTGCCGCCGGAGGCCCCAGGCGTCTCAGGAAGTGCACTGGCGCAGGCCGCAGGGCCCAGTAATTGACTAGTATTCAGTATTCCCATCCGGGTCCCGGGTTTTAAAAGAGGGGGGGGGGGGGGGAAGAGACCGAGAGAGAATATAAATAATTGATGCATACAATATGTAAATAATTTGAATTAGCTTGCTTCGCTCGCTACTCTTCTCTTGTGTAACAATATTTATATATATAAAAATTAATAAATACTACCAGTCTACCATACAGTCAAAATAAATTGTTTTTTTAAAAATAAAAACAAATTAGTAAAATAATACAAAAATGTAATCTTAGATCGACTCAAAACACAATGTAACGGTGAACTTAGTTTTGTTTCCTCGATTGTTGAATAAACGTCTACCTTAGCAGAATGAACTTCTTGAATGAACTAAACATTTATACTATCTCCGAAGGATTTCCTTGAGAATCTGGCCGCCAATCAAATCGTGTATCTTCTCAATTTCGAGCCTACAAGTCCATTCAACATATATCGTCATCTGCCAACCTCCAGCTCATATTACCCCGCACTTCGGTTCGTAAAGCACCAATCATACACCAACTTCATCTTCTTTCGAGCCTGCGCGGCCGTTCGCCAACAAACCGCACAATACAACTTAGAACGTTTCAAACTTATTAGTTTTCACACTTATAAGTTATCGCCCACACTTAGAAGTTCTCGCACTCTTATTAACGCCCCGGAACATTACCGAACAGTTCGGTACTTAAAACACCAACATTGTTTTAAATCGGAGGTAAACATGGTTGACATTACACCTCCCCAATGAACAAGACACTAGTGTCGAGTTCATTCATTTAACCATTTACTCAACTACTTCTTCCGCAAAATCGGATCCCTCGCAACCTGGAAGAACATCTGTAACTTGTTCCACCTGTTCTTATTGAATAGATGCTTCATAGCCAAATCCAAAGCATCTTCTACCACGCCCTTAATCTCACTTTGCTTCACCGCATCGACTATCGTATCAACATATATACCAAAAGCTGAATTCATGGCATATAACCAAGTCCTCCCCATCTTTGTTGATCGCATTACTGCCACCATTTCATCAAGTTTTATAACACTAGCTGCCCTTTCACCAGTATAATTGTAGAGCCAGATCAAACAAGCTTCCCTCCTACGCATTCTAATACTGGCCTCATGATTCGGATCCTCTAACCTCACCTTAAGCTGATCCACATGTATTGGCTTAACCTTCCCATTAATTCTGACCTTATACATCCCTTGTAAGTGTTCCCTAAAAGCAATCGTGCCTCTCACTAAATAGGTTTTTGCCAACTTACTATCCTTCGACCTACCAGTATACCAAACCAACTGCCCCGGCTGCCAATCTGGTGCCTCTTTTCTATTCTTGTCTGCCGCCTTTGCTTGCGCCTCCTTCGTCACTTCATCTCTAATGGCCACCGATCTATTCCACACAGTAGCTTCACTCAGAAGCTCAGAACCTATCACCTCTAACAACTTCGCCTGAATTACTCTATCAACCTGCCCCGTATAATGCCGGCCAGTAACATGATAGTATGGGCTGATACCTGTGACCGAATTCACTGTCGCATTGTACGCCAACATAACTGAATATATATATGCTGGCCATAAGGTTTCCTCCCCAAACGGCAAGCTCTTAGCAAGCCAATCCACAATCGTACGCAAGACCCTCTCTGCCCTACCATTGCCCTGATGCCTATATACTGATACGTAATGGCATTCTGCACCTCTCTCTGCCCAGAAACTTTTCATATCTGCTGAAGCGAACGGACCACCCTCATACATCACTACCTTCTTAGGTGTACCCCAAGGCAACACTTGTTGTTGAACAAACTCTAATACCCCTTTAGTATTCTTCTCTTCCAACGTGTATGGCCGACACCACACCATCCTCGAAAAAATGATCTATGGCCACTACTATACCTTCGAAACCGTGAACTGTCCTTGGCAAGGTCAAATGATCCATGCCTATACACACTGCAACCCCTTTTCGGCCTCTCAGGCTGCATTAACAACCCTGTAGTCCCACGAAGCCCCTCAACTTGTTGACACGCAACACAACTCTTCAAAACCTTCACAACCTGCGAAAGCACCACTTCCTCTCCATACTTAACCTTCAGGTACTCCCATATCCTATCTACCCCAGCATGCGCTAAAGTCTGATGCAAAGGCTGAACAAGTTCTGACCATACACTTAGACCAATACACTTAAGCTGTTCGCTAGGCATTACATCCGGATCCCACATTTTAGTAATACCTCTCTCCATCACTGCAGTGACCTGCTGATGCAATAAACCCACACAAATCTTGAAGTCGGCACTGACCTTGTCATCAAGACTCTCCTCCAACACTCGCAGCTTCTCTTTAACCACTGCCAGCCGGACCCTCCTGTCTTCCACACTCGTGCAGACTTTATCAAATGACAAATCCACACCTTCATCAATCTCTGGCAGACCCATTTTGCACATGCAGCGAACTTAATACCCTCTACCGACACAGGCACCATAATAGAATCAAACCACCACGGCATACGACTAAGTCCATCCGCAACTTTGTTCTTTGGCCCTTTCAAGTACCGTAGATCCATATCAAACGATCGTACATACATAAAATTCCTGTACCGTCTCTTATCCACTGGATCCGACGTGAACTCTACCTGCTGAACCACACCAATTAAAGGCTGATGATCCATCTCTACTATAAGCACCTCGTACGATCTCCTAATCAAACCCGTGAACTGCAAAAACCCATATGCTAGCGCTATCAATTCTCTATCTGTTGGAGACACATTAGCATGGAAATCTATCTTGGAACTCACAAAACCCACAGGAAGCCATTCTCCATCTCTTCTCACACATAAACAAGCACCTATACCAGAATCCGACGCATATGTCTGCAACCTAAGTTGCTCCTCTTGTCTAGGTTCTACCAAGACTGTCTTCGCTTGCAAAATCTTCCGAGCCGACTGAAAAGCCTTCTTCTGCTCAGGACCCCACTG